AAACAAGCTAATTACAGAGCTGAAGTTATGCCGTATGATCAGCCATATGTGTAAGAGCAGCTGCATGAGTGTGTGGGACGGGTGGGAGGCAGAGAGCTCTCCAGTGAGTGCGTACACTAATACTGTGCTCTCCTGGCATGCGAGAGAGAGAGAGAGAGAGAGCGAGTGAGTTCTTCCTCGTATGGCTAAGTCACCCTGGTAACCCAGTGCTCCCAGTATGGCCAGCTGGTGAACGCTGAGCGGCTCACACACTTCAAACGAGCGCCAGAGTTTACTTTACCTCCCACCAGAAACACAGAGGACGAGAGACACCGTGTCAGAGCGGGGGAGGAAAAATAGGAGATTAACTCATACCAACTCTGGTTTGAAAGAACCATTTACTACACTCTAAAAATGCTGGGTTGTTTTAACCCAATTTTGGGTAAAATATGGACAAACTCAGCCATTGGGTTACATTTTTAAATTACATTTTTAACCCAATGGCTGGGTTTGTCCATATTTTACCTAAAATTGGGTTAAAACAACCCAGCATTTTTTAGAGTGTACAAGGCAGAAATTATATATTTGTCTTGCAATATCTGAGTATTGAAATTGGTGTATGCTTTACTGTATATCCTGATTTTTTTTTATTTCAAACTTGTTTAACACTTCCTCTCTCTCCTTAAATGTAAGATTAATCTCACAAAAACATTTCCAGGTCACAATTCACCCCAAATCAAATTAAAAAATATATAACGCATTTTAAGGCCAGTACTTTATTCATTCACCCCAAATTCATATAATGAATTAACTTAGATTCTGCGTGATTGAAGAAAGAAATGAACAACTTTTAATTGGTTATTTTTAGGGCTGTCAAACGATTAATCGCATCCAAAATAAAAGTTAGTGTTTACATAATATATGTGTGTGCACTGTGTATAATTATTTTATATATATATATATATACATGAACATGCATGTATATATTTAAGAAATATGTTCATGTATATATTTATATATATAAAATTTATATTATATATAAATATTTTATATATAAATATTATTTTTTTCTTAAATATACATGCATGTGCATGTATTTATATATATATATATATAAAATAATTATACACAGTGCACACACATATATTATGTAAACACTAACTTTTATTTTGGATGCGATTAATCGTTATTTTATTTTAGTTATTTTAGTTAGTTATTTTTATTAAAGTTATTTTATTTTACTGCGATTCACAAATGAATACTAATATGAGGAAAAAAAGTATTTATATGAAATATTATTGAAATATGACCTGGGCGTGTCATGGTTACAAATAATTGCGATTAATTGTTCATATCACTTACAGTGTAAACTTGTTATTTTTTATTTGGAATAGTTTATAATATGATACATTTTAATCAGAATAGACCCATATTAATAATATTTGTATAAGGACTTTATAATATAATGTACTGTAACTGGCAAAACATGATTCAAATTTAAACTGCACAATGAATGCGGTTATCACAAATAATTGCGATTAGAAAGAATAATCAGATCAGACGATTAATTGATAATTGTGGCAGGCCTACTAAGCATGATCTTGAAAGCTTTAGCAAGATTCATCCTGTAAATGGAGTAAATAAATCAAACTCGGGTCTCCAATAAAGGATGAAAACGAGGAGCCTCCAGTGAAACTATGAAATAGTGGCTATTAGCTCTACATAGCAAACAAGCTTAAGCTCGTGTGGGAGGCGCAAGATCAGAAAGAGAGCGGCCGACCTCGCGGCATGATCCTTCTCAAGAGAGGACAAGAGAAGGGGGAGGGAGTGAGAGAAAGATAAAGAAAGTCCATCTGAATACTGAAATACAGAAATCAAGCACAGGTCACTTCAGTTTCTGAGGACACAGAGGCCGGCGTCCGCTGACCTGGGGTTACACTCGTGGTGAAACCTTTTATCATTCTTCGCTTTGGGGGAAAATATGTGGGCAGATACTGTTAAAGAACCAGCATAGAGAGCGTCGTTACAATGTGTTAATATGAGCGGCACGCTTTCCTTTCAATAACGCAAGAAAATAGACAGTGGTGGGAAAATAGTTAAAGGAGTACTGAACGTTGGGTATTGAATACTGAAGAACGGTCCAAACAACACAGGAGGACCCCATTGACTTTCATTGTACAGAAAAAAAATGTGAATGTTGTGAGATAAAATATTTGTAGACAGTCAGTTTCTCATTAACAAGTAAAACACTTTTAAAAAGGAGCTCAGCTGTTTATGTGCTCCTCTAAACAAAAACTCAGAAGTGTAAAGGTTCAGAAGGTAAAAGTCAGTGTTGGGTTTAACTAATTACTTAGTAATTAGTTATCGTAATTTAATTACTTTTCCCTTGAAAATGTAAAGTAAGGGATTACTCTTCATTTATCTGTAATTTAATTACAGTTACTTCTGATGTAATTGAGGTAAATACTGTGTACAGATCAATCCCATCTCACAGCGATTTGTATGCATTTTATGAGGTGTCTAAATTGTACGACCGCACTCGTACAAATTCGTATGTGAATTCGTACGTAATTATTGTAAAAAGTGTAAAAAGTCATGAGATCAGACATGAAACAATAGTGGGCTTAACATCAAAATGTATTGTCTGATGTTAAAATGTTTGTTTTTATAATGTAACCTTCTCCACCTTGGTCAGTTTAAGGATAATTCATGCAATTTTATAGTATTTATTTGAAAGAATTAAAACAGATTCATGTCTATTCTTGTATTATTCAGCTGGTTGAGTTTGAAATGGGATTTTGAAAGTAATGAGTAATTAAAAGTAATTAAATACCTTTTAGAGAGAGTAATTCATATAGTAATCTAATTACATTGTTGAAGAGGTAATTAGTAATTAGTTACTTTTTAGAGTAACTTACACAACACTGGTAAAAGTCCTCCTCACTATTTTGTTCTAATCACCTGGATTTGCTAATTAGTAGATTTAATCAGCCAGGAGTTCATGAGTGGAATAAAAATATGGCAGGACTTTTACTTTGTGACGCCTCTGCAAAAAACTTGATTCAAACTGAAGGCTAAACACTGAATATTTCTGGTTATCCATTGCGTCATTGAACGATTGTGATGATGATTCAGCTCAATTCTACCATGGCTATTATGATAGAAGAATGTTTTTTCTCCAAGTGTTTTCATAAGAGCAGCGAGGCTATTTCACTGAGCCACCGAAAAGAACTGGACGGCCTTCAGAAGTTTTGCTCCGTTATCTGCAATTCGACATTTCACAAATACGGAGAAGAAAAAGCTTTCTGCCATAAATTGAGCATGAAAATGATTAGTAGACATGCCAAGAGAGCCACAACACTAAATGCTGAATCTCACTGAGCATTGTGTAGTGCTCTAAAACCAGAATGGACACCTAACCCAATATCAATACAAAGTTAATGTGTTTAAAAAGCATCCTTGCTGTTAAGAGTACATGACGCAAAAGTGCGTCAGAGAAAACGTCAAACGCAATAACGGGAAACCATAAAGGCAGTGTTGCTGAGTCACTGGGCAAACAGGAGAACCACAGTCATCATCAGCACACACACAGATTTGAGGGAGCGTGTGCATTTGACGTCTTTACACTGTCCTGCTTTTTGACATCTATCAGCAGCACAAGGCGGCGTTAGAGACTTTTGCCTATGGGCGGAGATCTTCCTGGCCGTCACACCCAAAGGTCCTTCACTTAAGCGCAATCATGACTCCAGGTGTGGTGACCTAGAATACACCGCACCCATTAGAAAATGGACTAATTTGTCAGCTCATGCCATCGCCAGGCCGGTGATTTGTAGTGGAACATTTGGAGTTATTAACTATGAAGCAAACCAATACCTACTCCTACATTTGCATGGACCAAATCTATCTCTAAATAACCCACCAGACATGTGCATGTCAACCTGGGTGATTTCCAGATTCCAGTGCAATAAGGTCCTGCTGCTGAATCAGTTCACATAGAAAAAGTGAAGGGCATAACTGCTGACCACTGCTTTCCCAGAAACAAGACTACAAGCGAGGTTCTAGGAAACACATGACCCTTGAGGAGCTCTGAGGATCAATGCTGCTGATTGAGCGTTATGGATCACACCATGTTAGTTAAGATACAACCTGCATGTCTTTTAGCATATGGTCATGGTGAACAGAATACTAATAGTATACAAAAGTATTCAATGCGCTTTTTACATTACACAACATAGAAAAACATCAGAAACGTTGCATAGCTTGAGCTAAAATGTGAAAACGCATGCAAATACGAGTAAGTGTGAATGGAGGGAATATGTATATGAGCAGTGTCACTGATTATTATCAGGTTTATGAATTAATAATCATACCCTTGATTGCCCTCTGAAAGTCAAAGTAGTGAATTATGTTTATATAAGTTCATTGAAAAATCTGAAAACCCACAGAATGTAACTTTAAAATATAATGAATTATAAATAAAACAACCACGTATGTGCGGTATGATGGGTAACCTAACCCACCAGACCTGAAAACTATTGGCCAAAAAAAATTAACTTAAAATGCATTTTTAAGTTACAATGAGTTGTTTTATGTGTTTTTTTTAAAAATATTAACACAATATTAGTTCATCACTTAGAACTAATAAATAGGATAAATACACACACCAGTTTAACTTTTACTAGGGAATTCATGTTTATTGTGCATATTTGAGCCAAGCACATCATATTTGTAAGCTTATCAGAATGTTTTGATAAACACACACACTCTTGCATCAAAAATGTTTGAACACACCGATGCTATACTTTATTACATCAGCGGTCAAACAAGTTTTGAACTCTTTTTTGCACCAAAATAACAAACCAATAGGATAAAATATGTCATAAAACCCAAAGTTTTCGCTGGTTTGTATTATATAATAGTTTGTGGAGCTACTATGCTAATTACGTAGCCAGCTAACGTAACAACTAATCACAGCAGAACAGGTCTGATTTCTATAAAAAATAAGGTAAATGTGTACTTACTAGTCATATCTCCACTGCTGAGTTTAATAAGTGGTTAATTGTGTAGATAAGCGTAATAACTGAGTGTTTTCCAGTCAAATGTGTAAAATCTCTTCACGGGACTCATCGCCCGAATCAAACTCCCCTCACAGACACCAACAAACAGCGAAACTTTTCCATCTATCCATGTCCTGTAGTCCGATACGGCTGGGAAACAAAAGGAAAACGCTTGAAAATGTTATTCCGATACTGATTTTGAAGTCTAACAGTTTTCACTGTGAATTGTATGTAAATAAATGCGATATTTTCGATGGGCAGCAGCAGAAAGTGAAGGCGCTCGCGCAGACTCAATGTGAACTCGCTCACTCAGCTCTCACTCTCATCAGGCCCGAGAGAGAGAGAGAGAGAGCGAGAGATAGAGATAGAGAACTGCCCCATTACTACTGCATCCGGGTCGTGTGTTTCTGAGTGAGGCACTAATTTCTGAAAATATAGAAAAACTTATGACTAAAGGAAAAGGATTCATAGACAACCCTTTCAAAGCATTAAAGCCAAATAAATAGCTCTACCTTTGTAAATGTAGCCTGAAATAGTCTATATAGGCTATCTGTTTAAAAAAAAAAACATGCATCTTTCCTTTTTAATACAATATCATTCTTATATTATGTGTAGTATACTACATATAAGTCTTGTCCTTTATACTTTCCCCTTAAATATCATTACCACAATGAACAAATCTCAGAAAACTATAAAAAGTGGTTGGCAATTGCTGTATGGTAGTGCTTTAGCAGCCTCTAGTGGAAGTTTATGTTTACATATATTCATTTAGCTGACGCTTTTATACAGTGACTTCCAATTGCTATACATGTCAGAGGTCGCACGCCTCTGGAGTAACTAGGGGTTAAGTGTCTTGCTCAGGGACACATTGGTGTCTAACAGTGGATTCGAACCTGGGTCTCTCACACCAAAGGCATGTGTCTTATCCACTGTGCCAGTATTTTATATGCATTTTAAACACTTAAAACAGCATTTTTTTTTCTTTTAAACATCTCATGGGTTGCACTTGCACACAAAAACACATACTTCCCTACTACAGTGTCCATCATATGCGCACATCATAATAATGCAGAATTAGTAGGTCATCCGGGTACATTTTGCCTACTCTTTTATGAGTACTGTGAATTTAGACATACTTCTTCTCTCATTCTTTTTCACCTTCTATATAGCAGAGAAGTATGCAATTTCAGATGCAGACAATGTGCTTTTAGATGCAGCCATTTTTTCTTCCCAGTCACTAGTTCATTATGGGCTATGAGGGATGATGTTCTGTAAAGCTGCTTGAAACAATGTGCATAAAAATGACAATGTATTGTTATATCATACTCAAAACTGGATGGTAAGCCCGACTCGTAAAAAAAAAAGTTTTATTCATACAAAAAAAGTCGAAAGGTCATGTATTGCCACACATTTAGCTGGACAAGAAAGTGGTTCACTACTAAATATACTGTCAAACTTTGAACCAGAAAACTAAACTGATCAGTCCCACAAAAGCATAACAAATCCTACAGCGCGCATCATCCTCAGTGATCTTTCATCTGGTCGTCCTCCTCCAGTCTGCGTATCTCTCCCTTCAGGAAGTTGATGTTTTCTCTGGAGGCTTTCAGTCGCTCCTTCAGCTCTACGATCTCCAGGCTGGTCTTCTTCTTTGCCGCTTCCACTTTTTCTCGTGTTCGTATTTCCAGCTCTGCAACTGCAACATGGGACACTGAATGTTTAGTTCACATGATTAGAACTGCGGACTAATTAGGGTTTGATTATTTTAGCACATCCAATGGGCTGTTCAATAGGAGCTGCAAAGGTAAGTGAAGCACTCACACTCGGTCTCGTGTTTGTAAGCACCCAACGTCAGCTGTCTGGTGGTGTTCAGAAGTTGCTGCATCATGGCTGTCGGGTCTTGAAATATCTGCAAAAACACAGGTTTTAGGCTTTATGGTTGTATTAATACTATAATGTCATAATGTGCTGTTCTGATCAAATTCGCACCATCTCGTCGTAGAACTCGGACACGACTGTCTTCTTTGGCATGGCGCTGGAGTCTGACTGGAACAGCTTCAGCAGATGATATAGGGTGACCTGAAGAAAAAACACCACAACATCAAACCTTTGCTTTTTCTATTCTTTTAAAATGAAGGTAAAGTAATACAGGGGTTTATTACTGGTAATTGTATAATTACACTGTAATAAGGACCCCTTTAAATAAAGTGTAACCAATTTTTTTTTAAATCAATAAAAATAACATTAACTAATGGATTAAAAAGTAAATAGTTTGATTAATATAAATAAATTAATATATAGATCTGATTTATTAAAATAAGTTAATAAAATAAATAAAAGTTGATTCAAATAAATACATATTTTTGAATTAATTACATTTTATTTAAATTGAATAAAATCTTTTTTTATTCAGTCCTCAAAAAGTCATATAATAATGCCATTTACCGGTCTCTCATTTGGATCGATGAAGAAGATCTTTATGATGATCTCAAACTCTCCCCATCCCGTCTCTGTAATCTCATACGGAGGCTTCGTAACCACTGAAATAAAATTAAGAGTATTTGATCAGCTATGTGTGTTAATTAAGCCATGAAATTTGAAACTATAAATAATACAGTAATAAGATCAACTGAATAGCACACCTCTTAAAGGATTCCCATAACTTTCGTGCAGTTTGAACTGTATTTTTTTGACATAAGCAGACATATCCTGGGGGAATACCAAGGGGGAAAGAAAATAACACGTTAGTGAATTTTATCATTTATATACAGCAATTAAAATGCCTACAAAAAGATGTAAGTATCAACCTCATTTCTGTAAGGCTTCACATAAACTGTCCACTGATGAGTGTGACCATCGTCTTCTCTTTTCTTGCCAAAATATCGTGCAACGTTTCCAAACACGATGGGTTTCACGATAGTGACTCCCTGAGAATAAAGTCATTATGGTTAATTCATAAATCACCTGTTATTATAAATAAACACCAAAGGCATCAGCATTAGCCTTATGATAGCGTTACCTACCTTTACACGTCCCCCCGAATCTGGACCAAATTCAGCCATCCTCTTAAACATAGTATACAGAGAGGATAGTATTTATTCGTATTGGCTTCTATGAAATGGGTACAGTTATGAAATTAACTAAATTACTGTATTGAAATTCCATTAAGCACAATATAAATGCTCTTCAATGAAGAAAGACATATGAAGCGCTCGTCTCTACGACAAGAACAGAAGTTTTTAGGCAAAATTTCAAATTAAGAGTCCTAAATATTTACTAGTGACTTGCGTGACTTTTAATCCCACTATTTTGACTTTTTAAGCCAGGATTGCAAAAAAAACAAAACAAAACAAAAATTTCGTGTTTATATCTCGACATTCTGACTTTTTTCCCCAGAACTGTAAAATAGTTATGAAGTTCAAATCGACTCAAACTTTATTTTGAAATTGTGTATCGCTCATCAGGCAGACTAGTTTTTTCCCCGCTTGCTTCTGACTTCACGAATAGGCGTCTCTCTTCTTCACGCGAAGACCGAGGAGGAGGAGGGAAACAGAAAATGGCGGACGGTGTTGACCACATCGATATTTACGCTGATGTAGAAGAGGAATTTAATCAGGTTGGTTTACTTGATACATATAGATTACCTTAGTAATATATCTCTTACGTGTTGCACATAAAGATTAAAGAGAGTTCAATACATGCAGCTCTCTAACTAAGGAGCTAGGGCGTCTGCTAACTCTAGCAAGCAGCTAAATCGAGCCGCGTTTGTGTAACTTATACGTTAAGATAGAGGTTAAAATGGTTATATATCATATTTGTAGTTGTTTGCCGAAATAATGTCTGTTCTATGTTAGAATGCATTTGGAACGCGTGTTTGTGACGCGAAACGGATTCTGCGTCTCGTGCGTTCATTGTTTGTGGTCTCGTGCAAAAACAACAGGCCTAGCGCGAGGCACAATATCGCGTCAACTGGTCTGGGCACTGGGCAGATTAATATTTATGATCAATAAATGCTGTCTCAAACGTTTTCACGTTTTATTATAAATGAGTGTTGGTTGTTGCAGGTTTTATTTCCCCACAGACTGGGCATTTTAATAAAAAGCTAATTGGATTTGGTAGCAGGAGCTCAAATCAGGGAATCAGATTGATAACGAAATTTGTTTTATTTACAAATATTTACTTTTAAGGTTCCCTTATTGTGTGCTTTATTAAATAATGTCATATGCACTTGCGTGTTTTTCATACAGGGGCCGTATTTTAAACATTTACATTTTATTATCCTTATTTAAATTTCTATTATCTTTATTGATATTACCCATAATACTTTAAATTATGCTTGATTTCTTACAATGTTGATCAGAATTTGCTCATGGTTGAGTTTGTGTCATATTTATGAAATGTTTATTTGTCATTATCTTCAAACAGGAATCAGATTATCCTGTCCATGAGCAGATTGACCTGTATGATGATGTCATCTCGCCATCTGCCAACAACGGGGACGCACCTGAGGACCGAGATTACCTGGATAACTTGCCGGCACCCGGAGGCAATGAGGGCTCCAAAGGAGCTCCACCAAACGTCGTCTACACCTACACTGGCAAAAGAATCGCTCTGTACATCGGCAACCTCACATGGGTTCGTCTTGTACCTCTTCATTTTCAAAATATCTTGACATAATGAGCATTGGCATCTTCACACTATCTTGCTCACAGAATCTATATACACTACTGGTCAAAAGTTTGAAATAAGTTTTACACGCTTTTTAAAAGTTAATGCTCAACAAAGCTGCATTTATTTGATCAAAAATACTTTAAGAACAGTAATATTGCGGAATATTTTTTTTAACAATCTTGAAGAGAAATATTTTCTTTTTTAATATATTATAAAATCTCATTTATTCCTGTGATCAAAGCAGAATTTTCAGAATCATTAAGTAGTCTTCAGTGTCACATGATCCTTCAGATTATGCTGATTTGATGCTCAAGAAAATGTTTCGATGTTAAAAACAGTTGTGCTACTTCATATTTTTGTGGAAACCATGATATTTAGCCTATATGTTTAAGTACAAAGTAGTGCACTGCACACTCATGATTTTTTTTTTTTTGGTTTAATCAAACTTGCAGGGTCATTAACAACTAATATTATCACTTTTGCCTGTAGTGTATATGTATAAATAAATAATAATCTTTTCCAGTGTTCAGATTGTGACGTTGTGCTTTCCTCTTTACAGTGGACCACTGATGAAGATTTGACGGATGCGATTCGCTCCATAGGCATCAATGATGTGCTGGAGATAAAGTTTTTTGAGAATCGGGCAAATGGCCAATCAAAGGGGTGAGTCAATTCTGTTTAATCAAAGCATTAATGTACAGCTCAGCCCTGTTTTGCCTTTCGACTGCATGTCTTTCTATATATCGGCACCGAACTTAAACAACTCACACTGGTCGACCGCCATCTTTTGATACGTAACTGTTTGGGGTTGATAGTATATTTTAATTGGGACATTTCAAACATATTTGCTGATATGATTAGCCTCTGTGATTTACACTGCACGTCCTCCTTTTAACTGAACTTGCAGCTGCATAACGATAGTAAACTCTTCTGACCTTCAAGATATAGGTAACAAAGACACAATGCACAATGACACTGTTGGCCTTGCTTTAGCTGCATAATAGTAATCTGTTCTTTGGCCTTCAGCATGTGATAAATGTTTCAAAACAGGCTATGCCACTATTGGGAGTAGCTAGAAGATTTGATAACGGTATGAGCTAATTAGAAAGTGCCCAACTGTATGTTTTTTGGCAGACTGTCTACAAATAAAGAGGCAAACAGCTGTATATGAGGTCCCTGGTCAAAAACAGTATAAAAATGAGTTGTGCGTGTAATCATTAGTTGTTCTGCTGGCGTCTCTGCTTTGTTGTCTCCAAGCTTTGGCATATGAAGCTCTGTGATTTGATCGATTTCGACAACTTCTCATCCGTTCTGTGCTCAACAGGTTTGCGCTGGTTTGCGTAGGTTCAGATTCCTCGTCCAGGAAGCTGATGGATCTGCTTTCTAAACGAGAGCTGCACGGACAAAACCCCATCGTCACCCCTTGCAACAAACAGTCGCTCAGCCAGTTTGAGATGCAGTCCCGAAAAAGTGAGACCGTAATTCGTGGATGATTCGACAGTTTCCATTTGCTTAAATTTATTGATTGAACATGGTTTGTCAACCTATTATTGTGTGTGTGCTGCAATCCCACCAGGCACACAGTCGGGACAGATGTCAGGAGAGGGAAAGGCTGGGCCTCCAGGAGGAGGTCGCAGTGGCTTCCCTCTCGGCAGGGGTCGAGGGCGCTTTCCGGGCCAACCTGGCCCAGGTGGAGACCGTTTTCCTGGGCCTGGTGGACCCCCGCCACACTTTCCAGGTACAAATTTCTAAATCAGTTTAGGTAACATTACTGACTAAAATAGTAGAAAATGAAATAATTAAAAAAAATCAAGAAGCACGTACTAAAAAGGAATTTAGCGGCATGTCATTTCACCAAAGTCAGAGAACTATAAGCTTACAAATGTGGTGTTAAATTGTACAAATATTAACTAAAGCCAGACCGATATATCGGCCGGCCGATATTAGGCATTTTCCATAATATCGGGATCGGCAGTTATAAATGGCCGATAAATTAATATTTAAAAAATAAAATAAAAGCAGACGAAACACGCTTTAATTATCTCTCCTTGGCCTGTTATATTGAAAATGTATGTTTTACAATTTGCAGTATGATGTTATCTATTGCTAAATTATGGCTCATCATAGACTAGCTAACCACAAAGCTAGCTAATACCACTATCATCAGTGGAAGACCGCTAACGTTAACATTAATGAGCTTGGAAACCACAATTAACTTTTTCTGCTTAAATAAAGTAATGATTACTGTATTTATAACTAGCATATCTCTAGTTACAGTCCCTGCATTGTAAAATGTAAGTTATACTTGCGAGGAGTGAACATTTAGACATAGAGAAAAAGTATCAAATGTATTTTGTGCAGAAAAGTTAGCTTTTCTTTTACACGTGTGTGAAATCCAACAATATTTAATTAAAAAAAAAATATATCGGCCGATATATCGGATTTTAAGACCCAAAAATATTTGTATCGGTTTCGGCCCTCAAAATCCTTTATCGGTCGGGCTCTAATATTAACTTTAAACTCTCAGGTAGACTTAAAGAAAATATTTCAGGTCAAAGGGATTTGGCTGAGAAAACGTTTTGGGAATCCCTGCCCCACATACCTTATGCAGTCTTTCCACAAAATGCAAGTTGTAAATAATTATTTTTCCTCTTGGAGGTATGCAAGGACCACCGCGTCCTCCCTCTGGCCCACCTGGGCCTCCGGGACCCCCTGGCCCCCCTCCACCTGGACAAGGTCTACCGCCGCCTCTCGGTGGACCCCCTCACAGAGGAGACCGCCCTCCACCTCCTGTCATTTTTCCTGGTCAGTTTGGCCAACCTCCAATGGGTCCGATGCCTCCTGGCCCCCCTCCACCAGGATACGGGCCTCCCCCAGGCCCCCCACCACCTCAGCAAGGTCCACCCCCTCCCGGACCCTTCCCACCCCGTCCACCTGGACCCTTGGGACCCCCGCTTGGCCTTGCACCTCCACCTCACATGCAGGGACCCCCACCTGGAGGTCCACCACCAGCTCCTCACGTCAACCCAGCCTTTTTCCCTCCACCTGGAAACAACAACATGCCACCATCCGACGGCAGGGGTCCTCCACCCGGCGACCCCTACGGCCGCCCTCCTCCTTATGACCGAGACTACGGCCCGGGTGGCAGGTAATAAACCCCTCACCTTCACTGTACTGTAATTCTCTCCCTGTAATGAGATCTCTGGTCTTATTGCTGGAAACTGTAGTGTCCCATTTGTTGTTGACTATATACTAGGGCTGCAAAATTTTATTTAATTATAATTTATCAGTAAATTGCTATAGCTATTCAAAACATTTGCAATAGTGATTTATTTATTTATTGCTGTTTTTGTTTTAAGCTGCGTTTTTGTTGTGCTTGTTTGTAGGGCTGCACAATTTGGCCTGAAATTGAGATTATCATTGCAACTATAACAATAATAATAATATTTTTGATGACTATTTTAATATTTAGTAATAAGTAATTAAATATTCTATTTTAAAATGATATTCAAATAATTACATTGTAACATTAAAGTATTTAAAAATGTGGTTACGCTTTCTTTCTTTGACATGTACTTACCATAGTAATAGCAGTAAATTATGCATAATTACATGCAACTAGCCCTCAACCAAACCCAATCCTAGCCTATAGTAAGCACATGTTAAGTGAAATTACACTTTAAAATAAAGTTTAACCAACATGTTTTTACCGCACAATTGTGTGCAAAGCTGCTGGTGTAAAAACTATGCCACTCCGAAGAATGCAGTGCATTTAGTTAAATCGCACTAAGCGTTATATTGCGAAATGGGTTTTATTCTAATTAATCGTGCAGCCCTACTGCATACTACTATACTACAGTATTGGGCAGTGTTGGTAAAAAAAAATTTGAAATGTGTAGCTTAAACTGACCCTGAATCTCCTCTCTGGCCTTTCTTCAGTAACTTCAGACCCCCTGTAATATGTGGCTTTGAGCCCTGGATAAACGAGGGGTTGGTTGATGTGAAAAACTCTGGCCAGCACTTGCACAATACAAGTGATCAAGGGTTAGTGATGTGACCGTCCGCTGAGACCAGGATCCCGAAATGGGACCTTCGTTTCAGGCTTGTGTTGAGTGTGCAGCATTTCTGCAGTGATTTTTTTTTTTCAACTAGTGATGCACCGAAACACAGAAAACGAAATCCCAATATAAAGTTAAAGTAATTGAACTTTATGCTGTTAAAGGGATACTTCACCTCTGGAAAGATGAATGTGTATTTAAAATGGGTCATCATTTATGCAGAAGAAATGTGAAATTATTTTTGAATTTGGAGCTTTCTAGACTGAGAATGTATTTTTGGCTTATGTGGACGAAAGACAACAACTCCCAGAATGCACTTGCTTCGCTGCCATAGGAGGTAACAGGGCAGTAGTTAAACAAGTCTAGGCTACTAGTGAGTCTCCGTGATGAGAAAATGTGTTTCGAGATCGCCCAAAATGTCCGATGTTCGGCTTTTCCATTCTACAGTCGCCATTCATCATGTTTACTGTGGCGAGCGGGACGAGTGAGGGCCGCGGGAGAACGGCGCGAGGCCGGTGGCGTGATTACCGATGAGCGACACCTGTGAGACGCACCGGTCTCGTATCTCTCACGGAGGAGCGGGAATTTTCTTAGCAATGTTAAAACGCACATCAACCGATCACTTGTTTAGCGTTCATGTAAATACTACATTCAGATTCACCAATCAGAATGAATTCAGTTAGTTTGAAACAAAAGCTGTGCATGTAAACAATGAATGGCGACTGCAGAAAGCAAAATCGATGGCCGGACATGCCCGGGAAAAAGAGGATGGTAACCCCTACTACTCAGTTTTCTCCACAGAACAAGAGCCTGCTAGCTTAGCTTCCAAAAACAGATGACTGACACTGTGTTCATTCTGTTAGTGAGATCCACCCTCTATGGGCGGGTTGAGGACATGCAGGACAGACCCTACAACTGACTGTAGTCTTTAGCCTCTGGCCAAAAAATCCTCAGATGAGACAAAGTGACGATTTCTGCATCATCTGAGGATTTTTTCCAGACAAAAAAAAAATACATAAATCGCTCGTCTCAGGGGGATATGAGGAAGGAAAGCATGGTAATTTGAAAATACTACAGGTATTCTACTAATAGAAAGCTTAATGCTAAATCCTGAAGTATCTCTTTAAGGGTCTCGTGTTCTTCGGTCATAAATTAGTCCTAGTAAAGTTCTTTGGCAATAAAGTTTAAATATTGCTAAAATTTTTGGTCTTTGTAAAATGCATCCTCACATGCGTAAAATAGATGCTTAAAATCAATTATTTTGGCCCTCCAAAACGGTTTCGGCCCAAACCAAAAATATTTTTTATATCTGAATATATTTGGTTGCCGAAATGTTTGGTGCATCGCTATTTTTAACGTGATGCAATGCAATATGATTCAGCGTTAACAGCACTGCTGCACTGTGTGTGAATTTGGCCCTCGGTGCATTTGTTTTATTCTGACTTATGCTTTTACTTTGTGTATCTTAATGCAACTGCTTTTTCTTTTGTAGGGACATGGATGCGTCTCGCACTCCTCTGAGCGAAGCAGAGTTTGAGGAGATCATGAATCGGAACCGAGCAATCTCCAGTAGTGCTATCTCAAGGGCCGTGTCGGATGCGAGCGCAGGTGTGAATGTGATTTTAAGTCAGTTTTGGTTTGTATGGTGGCAGTTAAATTGTCTTTTTTTGCAGCTGATAAGTTATATTAAATAAATATTAGTAGAAGTTTTTTTTTGTAATTTCAAAGCCACATATGATCAAGTTGTTTAATAGGTGCTGCTTGTCATTTTCGAGATTCAAGATGTGGTAATTTATTGAAAGGTTAAGTATCCTTCCTTGTCATCATGCCTTTTTTGTCAAATTCAAGGACTGCGTTGTTTTTAATGTTAATATTTAACATTTTTATTTTGTAATATGGCTTGTCTATTTAATGCATCACCTGAATATATTTTCAAATTGTCTTCTTTAAATTTACAAGTCCCCCTGTAGTCATTTTTATTTCTCAACTCATCTTTAATCACCAAAATCAAAGTTTTCCCCCCTCAATTTCATGCCTTAAAATAGCTTGAATATAACTCTACACCCTTGACTCATTTAGTATATGTGCAGTTCTATGAATATGCAAATAAGCCCCGCCTCCACTCACTCACACCAGCTCAGAGATCCACTCTTTGACAGGATTGGTTGCAAGGTAGATTGTGACGTCAGAAACACCATGTTTTTGTTACTGCCTTTGGTTCACTGCCGTTTTAAAGGAGAAAATACTCAGCAATGGTGTTGACTCATGAATTTGCTCATGGTTTGTCTTAAAGCATATTAATAACACCACATGGGCATATCAAAAACATTAGTAGCTTGATTTTCACCACAGGGGGACTTTAAATGTTTGTTGATTTTGTTATGACTTCAGTTATGCACTTTGTTCTCACCATGAACTTGACATGGCTTTAAAATAATGCTAAATTATACATTTTTCAGCTGATTACGGCAGTGCTATAGAGACTCTGGTGACGGCCATCTCTCTAATCAAGCAGTCGAAGGTTTCCGCTGATGACCGCTGTAAGGTTCTCATCAGCTCACTGCAGGATTGCTTGCATGGAATTGAATCAAAATCTTATGGATCTGTGTCGAGGTAAATATATTGTGGATCTGCATGGGATTTTTGTTTTTTGTTGTGGATTAATGTTTTAATAGCTGGTGTAACCCAGAAAAAATCAGGGATGGGACCCAAATAAGGAACCAAACATGTTCTTTTTCATGCATCCAGATGGAAAAATATAGTCTTGCCCTGTTTTTTTTTTTTTTTTTTTTGTTGTTGAATATTAAATTACTTCATGCATTTTCAGTTTGCATCAATGCATTAAATTACTGCATGAATTGTTTCCATTTACATCAATGCATTAATTTAGTGCCTGGATTGTAATTTTGCATGCATGAAAAAATGTATTGCATTGCAGCAAAAGTATTTCATGTGGTTTAATATTCTTTAATGCTTTCACCCTTTAGCAGACGGGAAAGGTCTAGGGAGAGGGACCACAGTCGCTCTCGTGAAAAGAACCGTCGGCACAAGTCTCGCAGCCGAGACCGGCACGAGGACTATTACCGGGAGCGTAGCCGCGAGAGAGACCGCCATCGCGAGCGAGACCGTGACCGCGAGAGAGACCGAGAACGTGAACGGGAATATCGCCACCGCTAGTTGGATAGGAAGGTGTGTATCCTGTTTGTTTCTCTGTCTGTCTGTCTTTCTCCTCTTCCTTCAGGATTCAGATCTTATCCTGCAGAGGTTGGGATATCACAGGTAGGTGATCAGAAAAGGTGAGCCTTTGATCCTACAATGTGACCAAGTACTGTAATTTTTCCCTACGGCTAATCTATTTTTTTTTTCTCTTTTATTTTATGGATGTAGCATGATCTGAGTACTCGGATCCTTTAAATTTGTGTACCGCTCTTGAAGCCATTTAATGTACAATATCAGCTCCAGAAACTATAAACTGTCCGGCACTGTTATAGAAAAAAAGCAATTGTGTTGTGCACAATCCAGTTTGTCTTTGGAGGGATTTTATGTGTATTTTAAATGTTATTTAAAAAAAAAAAAAACCGAGAATGCCTTTATTAAACATTGCACTTTAGTGTTTGTCCATTTTAGCTTGAGATTTGCTGCAAGTTTAAAGACTATGCCAATTTTGTCAAGGTCAAACAGAAAGCTACCTTTATCATACTTTGCCTAATTGACTAATTGTTTGATAAAAAAAAATCAGGATGTATTTGCATGTCTTTAGGGTTGCAATTCTGAAATATAAGTTCCACCTGTAATCATAAATGTGAAGAGAATTTGGTTTTAGTTGGATGAGAGAAAATGAATGTTTGTATTTCACATTGAAACATTTACTGATTTCAGTGAATGAGCAAAATCATGTTTCTCAGGTTGTGCATTGACATTCCTGTAGGCAGATTTGATATTGACATAATGGTTTTCCTAGTGTTTAGTTCCACATTGAACTGAATGTTGTGAAAAACAAATGAATGGAGTCAAATTGATCTGCTTTGGCATTTAAAAATGCGTTTGCTGTAGTGTTATGTCAGGTTGAGTTGTGCATGGTGTTGGCCATATCAAATTTTTCCATGTTGTGCCTTAAGTATTTAGTCTTGAACATCTGTACAGTATAATTTCAGAAAAGCATTCTGAATGTCTTCTGTCAGAGCAAGTTAAATGTCTTTGGGTATTTCTGCAAGGTTTACAGTCATATTTGCAGGGTTTTAGTAGTACAGTTTTTCCATCTTAAAAGTTAATTTATCTGAATTTGACATTTTCTCAGTTGACATTAATTCGGTATTCATTTATTTTCCATGTTTGTTAATGTTACACATTAGATAATTCAGATGTAGCAGTTCTTCACCATTTACACCCACTTAGGCATTTGTTTTAACTGTAAAATAAAACTACAGATCTGCAATGTCAGAATGTGGCCCGACTGGGCAAACATTACCTTACATATTAATATATCTCCCTCAGTGCTTTTATGAATGGAGAAGAACTGCTATCACTTTTCCAAAGTGAACATTTTTACGTTTTTCTTTTTTTATTTATTTTTTTCTATCGGTAAACATACTCATGTTTGTAATGATTTACGATGGCTTTTATTTAATATGCAACCAGTATTTAATAAATATTTTCAAAGTCAGTATTTAAATTTATGTAGCATGTCCTCAGTTCAAACGCTGTTGGTCTTAGTTAAATTTCTGACCGAGACAATTTACTGTCACTGTCTCACTTGTGGCCTGTTGCTTCATGGCTCTGTGTGACTGTTTCCTACAGGCTACATTTTGTACTGTATGTAAATGCTGAGGACACCATAATATCATGTGTGATCCATTGTGAGTGACCTCACATTTGATTTTAGATGCATAGAGACGTTATCACTGTCCATAGACTAAATTATGAAACTAAAACTGCAACAGAAGTTGACTCATTTTTAGAAAATAGATTGCAATCATTGTAAATGCATAAACTTAAGCACAATTACTTTGTAAATTTTGTTTCATGTAATTCTGGCAAGAAAAACTTCCAAATTGTTGTTCTGGCCTCCAAGCCAAAAGATTCTGAAATTGCCAATTTTTTTTTTCTTTTTTCTCTCTGTATTATCAACTGTTAACTTTAATGTACAATCTATAATTGCAGCAACATTAATCAGGGAAAGACTATTGTGTTCAAAAGCCATTAGCTGCAGAATTTACTTTGCAATTTTAATACATGCTGTTTCTCTCATGCCGGGTTCAGACTACATAATATCGGGCCGATTTTGACTTAGGGTGCCGTGGTGTACACACGGAGCAAATGCTTTAAAATCCTTCAGTGTGCAGTGCATAAAAATCTTTACTCAATCTCACCTGATCTAAAATGCTGTCTTTAATGTTGGGTTCAGACTACACAATTTTTTTGTCTGTCACGATATAGGGCCCTATGATTTCCGCGATGACTGAATTATCGTGGAATTTCGTGGAATTTTACATATTTGGTTTGAAATTCTGTTTTTGTGTGGGAGAAGAGCGTATGTCTGGTGAAAATGCAGATTGGGGGGAGGAAATCTGGGCGACACAAACCCCCACCCCGTCATTTCAGCTACAATGATGAAATCAAAACAATCGAAGCGGCTCTCCTTTCGTCTGCAAAACGTTAAGAAACTTGACGCTATAAGCCGTCAGTGCCGAGTCTAGAAGTTCGCACGTGACTTATGCAGTGTTTCCCACACATAGACTAATTCGCCGCCACTTTCTGCGTTTCATTTTATAACACCATTTAAAACACGCAGCGCATTCTTTCAGTTGTATTTCTCCGCTTTCCCTCCCTCTTTCTCACATACACACAACGTGCACACTAGAGCCAGACCGATTTATCGGCAGGCCGATATTTGGCATTTTCCAAACTATCGGTATCGGCAGTTATAATGGCCGATAAATCAATATTTCAAAAATAAAATAAAAACAGATGAAACGCGCTTCAACCATGTCATGAGTGTTGGAGTTGTATAGTTTGTCCACCAGAGGGCACTCTACACCATCCCTGTTTGCAACACTTGTCTATAACTGCTTCACCAGGTTGCAGGTATCTTATAAGGCAATGTAGGGACTAAATTTTATTTTATTTATCAGAACTTTAATATTTTTTGATGTTCCTCTGTTCTGCTGTGACGATAAAAGAAACAAGTTTCTTTTTAAAATGCATTATCATATTATTTATTTCAGTTAACTCAAATAACTACAAATAACTAATGTTAGGGAAATCTGTTAATGTTTTGTTGCGCTTTTCTGGAAAAAAAAAAATATTTCGGCTGATATATCGGATTTTAAAACCAACAAATATTGGTATCGGCCTTCAAAATCCTTTATCGGTCGGGCTCTAGTCTGAACCTGACATTAAAGACAGCATTTTAGATCAGGTTTGAGTAAAGGTTTTAGAGATTGAGTGAAGATTTTTATGCACTGCACACAAGGTTTTTAAAGCATTTGCTCAGTGCGTACAGCCCTGTTGCATGGGTTTTATTGGGATATTTGGATGTAGTGTCCATCTGAATGGGGTAATCTGCGGAAATGACTGTTTTCCAAGGTTGTTTGTGTAGTTTTTTCTCAAGTAATGGTCCTGACACATTGAACGGTTTAATCCCCACCCCCTTTCCTCTGTTCAGTGTTGATCTTATAAGATTCTGTCACAGGATTGGACAAACTTATGTTTTTGTAGTAGTTACAGGTTGTACTAATACTTGTCATTCCAAACAAACTAAACTGTGATATCCTTAAGTCAGTCCAAGAGTTTTCATGTGTTAATGTCTAGTTAAAGTCAAATTTAATATTTATGAAATTTCTGTTGTACAATGGGCCGAGACTTATATGAATATGGCTATAGTAAGACACAGGCTAATGTTTTAATAAGAAATCACATCTTCAGTACATTTTATTTCATGTGCATATCTCTTGTGATTAACAACTCAAAAGAATAATTAGTTTCTTAATTATTTGTCCAACCCTGTGTACTGTAAATCCAGTGTCCACCGAATCACTAGAATCAAGCTTGTCGTTCATTTGCTGTTTTTTGTTTTTAACGTAGCTTCTAGGTCATATTATGCATAAACTCAATGGTAGAAAACTGTAGATCATTGCATCTTAAAATTAAAATGCTTTTTGCATTGTGTAATCAAAATTGAAATGTGGATTTGATGCTTATTCTTAGAGGTGCAGTGGACACTGTACATTTTATGTGCTTCACAAAACGTTGTTCTCCATGTGGGAAATAAGATTTTTCCTGTTGTAGCAAAAATACAGAACTCATTTAATTTAGTTTAATTGTAATTAACTAGTTAACTGCTCTAAAGAAATTTAAATGATTGGGAAAAAATCAGTAAAAGGCGTTAAGTCATCATTACCCATGATTGAAGGATTGTTTTGGCGACATTAAATCTGAATGTTCTGTTTTACTCCTTTTTAGATGTGAAAATATGCCATTAGAAATAGATATGAAGTGTAAAAAATGAGCACTGATCAGACCTGATCACTTCTAGCTTATAGATTTATAGTTTACCTGTGAACTTGATTTTGTGCTAAAAAACCCCCCCTCAATTACTATGAGTTAACCTTGTTGTTTAAAGCCATAAGAGGTCAAACATGTTTTACACCCAGTTTGACAAACCAATCAGCCAAAATGTGTCAAATCAGTGTCATAATGCAGGAATTGCCTTCTAACTTATCGATCTTATGCAATTCAATCGAATAAAGTGACTGCATGTTCTTTTGTTTTGTCATATTCAAAATTGTAGTTGTCTATCCTCATCTTGTTGTAAACCTGTATGGGTTTTTTATTCTTTAAATGAGCTCAAATGTGCCCCAAAAATTCACAAGTACTTGGAAAATCAATCAGATGCTGATTTGTATGAATTTGTTTGATTGATTTGTCTCAATGGGACTAAAAGCTACATTTTCATATAATTTTATTACATATTTTGAGAACTGGTTAACTCTTATGAATTACAGTTTTGATGCGATTTATTGTGCGTCTGCATACTTATAAGGTTTCTAATTTTCATTGACTAAGTAACCAGAGTGAAAGTGAAGTATCTGCTCAGTTGTGGTGTTGAGTACATGTGTCATAGTTGTGCATGCCAATGTCTATGCTTTTGTGTCATCTTTTCACATTGTATTGATGCACTGATTCCAGGGGCTTGTCTTTAAATAGTGTTGTATGTTTTTAGCATTTCCAGTTATCACTGACTACATTTACATGTGCACCAGTAATGTGATATTTTCCAGGCCTTAACTGCAGCAAGATGTTATCGTATCAATGCCATTATTCACTTACAACTCACATAAAGTAGGCTTGTTACCGTCTTTTCGCTAGTTCTCTTGTAATCTACCTTTTTTTCCCTGGTGATGCGCCTCAGATGCCTCTATTTCAATGTTTTTGACTATTAATATAGTTCCCCTAATAGTCGACGAGAAGCCAAATTTTAATTAACATTCAAGTCGCTTGTTTCTTCAGGAACAAGTGTTTACATGCCCGTTTAATGCTACTTAAAATCAATATCCACCACATTTGACTACGATTACGGTTGCTAGCTTAAATTGCCTAATTTTTAATGGCAATATCTCATTGCTCACGTTGAGGGTGCATGTGAACGTAGTCACTGTTCTCCCTGACTGCAGTTAATATACTTTTGTACCTAAATTCTGTGCTGATGTGAAACTAGATTATTACATTGACGTATAACCCTATTTTGCTATAATCAATATGAAAGAAAGTGCCCCTTAGGCTGATGCTGTTATAAATTGATTGAACGTTTGCATGCCTGTGTATGTCTGAGCGTGTGTAGATGTAGAGGGGAAAAACATCTGTGTGTGTTTCTGGGTTCTGTGCCCCAAAACAAACTGCCACCTTCGTTTTGACACCTTTCAGCTGAACGCAAGAGGAGGAGGAGAGACGTCAGGAGCAACGTGGACTCATCCGACAGCATCCCGCGTCGCAGAGCGCTGGACTCCGGACACAAGGAGAGTTCTGTCAAACATTACATACTCACTCTTACTCTCGTTTTATTTTTTACTTTTATTTGGAAGTAGCTGTGTGCTAAAGTCAGTTCAGCTTTTGACAAATTATTTGCCTGCTCATTCGAAACACAGAAAACTTTCCGACTGCTATAATGTTGTAAATTGTCAGTTAGCTAGATTTGTTTTTATAGGAACTTTCTTTTTTTTTTTTTTCCCTTCCCCCTCGTCCATATAATGTTTGTAAGTGTCTTTTGCCTTGATTATTAAATAGAATCTGTGTTGTAATAAAGTGTGTACTGGGGTTGTTGCTTGTTCATAATTTAGGTTTATACTTCCAATCTCCATTTTAGCCAAAATACTTAACTGCTCAGAAATGCATATTTTCCTAAATTTGTCCTACCTTTTTTTTTTTTTAATCTTTACTTTCTATAAATGCTGTGCCATTGTGCCTTTTCCGGTTTTACCCGATTTCAAGAGTTTCCATGCAGTGGTCTCAGTGTTAAAAGTTTTCAAGTTTTGGGTAGATTTATCATTAATGTTTCAAATTATTTTCCAAATAATGTAGGGTTTTATCTTTCCATGAAACTTTTCAGTGGTTTTCCTGATTGTAATTGGAATCACACAATTCAAATGTGAAATGCTCCTCTAATTTTTGCAGTCAATTTATTTTTAGAACAAAAATCATGAGTCGTAAATATTAATACAAACTATTCGGCATTTGTAATGCATTTCTTTTATGCTTATATCCTATGTTCATGTGTGTATATACAGGCCATTTTGTAATACTGTTTGATTTTGCTAATTTAAAATTTAAACGTGAGATTTATGCATTGTGTGGCTTTATCTCAATTTCTCAACTTGTCTGTCCCTTTTTAAAAGGTTAGTTTTTAGATCTTTAGGTCTCACTTCACTTACGGCAATGTTTGCCAGTGATGTAATGAGCAATGTTGGCGCCTAGACCCATCACTGCTTACTGTAAATATGCAAGTACTTTATTTTGAAACTTTGAATGCATAAATAGATTTGAGAGATGCACTTGGACTATGGGGTGTTTGTCTCACTGACCACTGTGTGCCTGTGCATTGGTCAGGTTTCATCTGTTGAACAACAGAATATAAGATTCATGTGGACACAATTACTCCCTTGTGGCCTGTGTTTTTAATGGTTTTCCAATGCAACCAGAGTAAGTGCAGTGCTAGTTTCTAGTGGTTTTTTTACAACTGAATACTCTGGTGGTGAAGTGGATGAACAACCATATTGTGGGTTCCTGTTCCCTGGACTGAGAGGTAAGTCGATTTTGTCTTGTATATGTCTTTTTGAAATTGATACGGCTGTGTTTTTTACAGCTCTTTGAATGGACGTTTTGTTGTAATATTGCTAGTCATGCAGTTATGCTTCAACTATATTCAGTATATTATGTAATTTCATTAATTGTTCATAGACATTATTGTGGTTCAGTCCACATATTATTAAATTCGTGATTAATGTGGGCTACCTGATTTCAAAATATTTTTGCCAATCAATAAAATTTTCTTAATTTTTTTTCTTGTCTTGTATGTGTTTTCTGTTTGTAGTGCTTTCGGATTAAAGTCAGGAGAGGCAGAATTATTGAATGCTTTTTATTGTAACTTAGTGCATGTACCTGTAAATCCTGCTTTTTCCTGTAGTCCTACGAGAGAGGGGGCTCTGGTCAATCTGATTAATATTTGGGCAAGTTAAATTAAACGGTTGCTGTAAATATTAGATCTTAAATGTCCACATGAGGGCGCCATTTAAACTCTAATTAAGATGTGTACAATTGCATGATTTCATCAGCAAAAGACGCGTTTCCTGCGGAAATAAGTCACCTAGTCCTGAAATAGGGTAATTGATGAAAAGTTTGATAACCTTATCCATGGATATGAGTTCGTTTAACAACACAAACTAATTGCTTATAGTTTAAACGCATGCTGTGTATTCTTAATAAAGCCAATAAAATATGAATAATAGGATGTAGTCAAACAAGTTTCAAATATGCATTTTTTTTTTTTAATTATGGGTGGGGTGATTTGGGGAACTAGGCTGAAGGTGTGGTCAAATTCTGGGTGTGAATGTTATTGTTACTGAAATAATGTTGCTTTGCAACGTTAACTAACCATAGCCAACCTCGAGTAACGTAACGCGAGTAACTAACCATTGCAACCTCGAGTATTATGCCTTTGGTTGTTACATCCAGATGTGTGGGCTAATTGTGTTATCAGGCCTATAGAACACTACAGTAAAACAAAACTATTTCTATTCCCAGAAACGATGACTCCTGCAGTTGCGCAGAATGTGTATGGCGGGCTTGCGCTAACTTGTCTGAGCTCTGAGGTCAGATATATTTATGTGCAATCTTTATTCTCTATTCTTGATCCGAGCAAGGGTGCTTCCCTAAAGTAGCCAATAATAGTCCAGACATGTTCTTGGATTTTCCTGTAGATGATCCATAATTAAACGCATAATTATAAACGCCTAACGACCTATTTTTACTCGCATTGTAACATTCTTTTAACGTTTACGCATGTTCGTAGCCTAATTTTCCAAGCAAGAATGTTCTGAAAATGTTCTTAGAACGTTTTCTCTCAAAGTTATGAGAACGTTCAATTACAAACAAAGATATTCTAAGAACAAATGAAAAGAGACTCAATGAGGTAGTTACACTGTAAATAAATAAATAGGCTGGATAAAAGTTTTTTTGAAGCTGTAATTTATAAAATATTTGAGTTGCCGGAAAACAGGAAAATTCTGCTTCAAACTTTTAACTATCTAGCGCGTTACTTGCCATCTTTGCAAATGTTAGTAAAATTCACTAAGGAGTTTCTAAGTTAAAATAGTTTCAAAGTGAATCCCAAGCCCTTTTTTGCACACTGATGAATAGGCTATATGTGAACATTGCTTACACTCTTAAAAACAAAGCTTACAAAGGAGGGTGGGGAACATTTTAACAATCCATAGAACCTTCTATAAAGAACTAAGAACTTTCAACTACCTTTTGTGCAATACGTGAACCAATGGCAGGACCTTTATTTTTCTAAACTTGATTCTGCTATGATCATGACATGAGTAATTGCTAAGATAACCTTATAGGCCTACGTCTTATACAGGCATATTGTGCAAGTATAGATGACGGTGTAGCTTCTTTTTTCTATTGTCTTGTGGCATAGACATGATTGTTTCTATTGTCGTTACGACTTTTGGTTGTGCACAATTATCGTGCTGGTTTCCCATCCAGCTTGTTTTTCTTTATGCTGTCTGGAATTCACTATGATGATCTTTTGCATAATTATGCCGGTAATCGCTATCTCATTTTGTTCATTACCAACAGCGTAAAAGAATGAAACGACAACATGCAGGCAACAAATAGTTTTCAGATAAAAACAAAAATGTTGTTTTGCTTCAGCTGTGAAACACTGCAGACTGTTCCATTATCTGTTAATCATTGCATTATGAAAGACGTTTATGATAAGAAAACATGCATGAATTTTTTATGGATTTAAATTTTGAAAGTATGAACAAAATATTGATGAACAAGCTGAATTAGGCAAGCCTACTTAACCTAGAATCTATCAAATCTTTATAAGCATTCTTTAGGTCTGTTTAAACCTTCAATATATTTTCTTTCCGTAATCAAAGCCAATTTCATTCATTTTTTTCTTGGGCAATATCAATAGTTTGAAGACTTTAAGGTTTGTGTCCTTTAAGATAAAGGCAGGCTATAATAAAAAGAAAAAAAAAAAACTTTTAAAGAAAAAACTTTTTAATGTAGTAAACAAACGTAAAAGCTAGTACATTTACAGAATCACATTTATAGAGTTTAGTAATTTTATAACGTTTGTATTATATTGTTGAAGGTTGAATCTGCAATAGCCTGTGGTGCTGATAAATTAAAATAGCAGCAAACCTAACAACCCTCACCAGTCCTGAATAAGGGAGTGGGCCAGACACTTTTAGTTTAAGCTTAGTAAGTGTATAGAGAGAATGTTTGGAGTCACACCCAGTTCACACACGCACGCACGCACACGCTTGTGTCTCGATCAGCGCTCCGCAGAGGCGCGTTCACTGCAGCTCTGTGGCGCGCGCACACGCGTTGAGACGAGAGAGAGAGAGATAGAGTGAGGTTCGGAACATCTTCACCCGGCGTGATTCATGTTCAGGGTAAGGCAAGGTATTCTGCTTTCTAGCCTACTGTTTGAGGACAAAATGTAGCTTGACATTTTAATCCCGGAATAACCGTTAGAGAAGAGAGAGAAGAAGGGACGCGGTTTGTTGACGCATCCTTGAGGAAGAGAATCATGATCATGATGGTCTGGATGCGTTCACATGTGGCTTGAAAACGGATTTAGGTTGTTCTGGAAATGACATTTTGACGAGTGAAGTGTGTAAAATCTATTCAGCAGATCTATCGACCCGGAGCAGCTCTCAAACCTTGTTTACAGGACGCGTTCTTGATGCTTTCCGTCTGCGGTGCGTTAGCCGGGCGTCTTTTGCCGCTGCGTTTTAAGATGGTATGTCAAGAAGTACAACTTTGACAATCAAAGCGTTTAGTTCTAGCTTGTTTTAAATTCCCGAACGCGCGAATAAGCGCGCGTTAGAGGCGTTTGACGCGGGTCTGTCTGCGGACGCTGCTGAAACGGACGTGTCATCTGTCACTATATAGCCTAAGAATCATACTAAGTGGTTACAATCCACTTTCTTACTGTGGTTTCTTGTCACATCCGTGTTTAAATATGAGCTGCGGTGGCGGGATAAGCAGAAAGCGGATGATGGATGACTGTGAGCGCGCGGCGCCAAAGCTTCAGTTCAAATGTTACAGTGAAGCACAAATGATTCTTGAACTGTTGAGGTTTGGCGCGATCGAATCATTCTGGCACTTGTGGATGAATCTTTTCCGGGTTATATTTCATCCCAAAATCAAAAGAAAAACTTTTGTGTTGAAAAATAAAGGAAAAATCTTTGCTAAAGTCATTAATCGCTTTTATTTACGGTTTTGGGGTGGAATATGTGATTCTGGACATGTTTTTGAACAGAATGTTTCAATTGTATTGTATTGTACATACTCTAGTTGATGTCTGAAGGGACATATGTGTGCTGCAGTAGCAGTAACAACATTAAATAGAAACTCTTCAATATTCAACAGACTGTATAACACACACCCCTGTGTATATATAGAGAGAGCTCAAGTACTGTAGAATGTAAGGAGACATGCCAGCAAGTTCATACAGTCACGGCACCTGCGTTACGCTGTGCTTTGACTAAAAGAGCTGTGCTAAATATGATGTCTGGACCTGATACTGATCTGCAGGAGACAGACAGACAGACAGACAGGCTCATCTCTGCAGACAGTGAGCCACAGTCAGTGTCAGTTACATCATTCATTCAGATATGTATCCAATGATAAACATGCAGGAGTGTGAGACATATCTTGTAAAGAAGTCACAATGAAATCCAATAGGCTATTTGTATATTGCAGCATATATTATAAATAAATAATCCGTACACCTCAGTATATTCTAAATTCATTAACTCGTGTTTACTTGCGTGAGGGCGGGGCAACCTGTCACTCACATGAAATCGACCAATTGCAAACCATCTAATCAATCCCCATTAGTTCTTGTTCCAGAAGCCATTTCACTTAGATCACCCTAGGGAAGAAAAGATGATTGCAACTTCACTTTCATGCCGATTTTAAAGGCCTGGCTCTCGTTTTGTTGATGAATCCTCATTGTCAACTGATCTATCATCTTACTGTATCTCTGACCTTTACTTTGATCAGTGTTCTCCAGCCGTTCAGTTTACCCCGACAGTGTATTAGCAGCTCAAGGCGAGGATGTTGAGATTAGAGCTGACTTGATGATCAGCAGGCCTTGAACTCATGAAGAAGTGTAGCCCACCAGTATATTTAGACATGTGAATCTGTGGTATTCACTCTTAAAACGGACACGGAATTAAACGCATAAATAATTCTCGCACCTTTAACCATGTTGACACTGTGAAGATGGTGTTATGTGATTTGTGGCTTATGCACAAGCTGAAAATCATAACACGAGCAAAGCAGATCAGATTCAGCATTCATTTACATAGAACCAAAGCCTAAAACCTAAACTTGAACCAGGGTTATTAGAGTTAACATTAATAATAAAAAAATACAACTTTAATTTCAGTTCGCAACATTTTTCATTTTCATTTAGTTTATTATGATGCTCTAAAATATATAAATATAAAAAACGTGTGTATAGAAATGACAAAAAAATGAACTTTTCCTAAAACTTCAATGTAGAAGTACACTCTTAAAAATAAGGTTCCAATAGGTTGTTTATTGCAGTGATGGAATGTAAAGATGGAACCATATATTCAGATAAAGAACCATTATTTTTATGAGTGTATATAAAAATAAATGACACCCGAATTCTATTATTTTGTTCCTGGCCTACAGTTGTTAGCCAATGATGTAGTGCTTCTATATTTACATCGCAGTCCTGTTCTCTTTTTACTCATAATAGATTTTGTAGTCATTTTAACTA